AGAGAAACAGAGCAAGATGCAAGCCCAGAACAGAACTCTGGAGAAATGAACATCTCAGGAGGCCAGAGAAAAAAGAACTCCTGATGAAGGAGGGGGAAGGCATGGAGAGCGAGGCAGGCAAGCCACAAGTGGGAGAGACTTTGGAAGCCCTCAGAGTGGGGCATTCCAAAAAGGAATGATTGACAACTTCCCAGCACGGAAGAGAGCTTCAGCAGGATAAAATCTGAGAGGGAGTCATTTGGTCACGTCACTTGGTCACATAGACATCGTGGCAATTTTCAGCAGTGATGTTTCTGTGAACAGTTGGGCAGGGAGTGGCGGGTGGAGATGCCTGATGGCAATGTTCTGAGGGATGGGAGGCAATTGAGAATATGGGGTCATCAGATGCAAGCAAGTGCCACCCACAGACAGTTATGTTCTGTTCCTAGGATGATTTCAGGTGGGAAACAGGTAAACGTTTCATCTTTAATAGCTATATATTTAAAGTGTATTAAAATTGGGGCACCTGGGTGGCTCAGTTGGCTGTGTCTGACTTGATTTCAGCTCAGGTCATGATATCATGGTTCGTGAGACTGAGTCCTGCATCGGGTTCTCTGCTGATTCTCTCTCTCTATCTCTCTCTGCTCGTCCCCCCGGTCTCTCTCAAAAAGAAATAAACATTTAAAAAAAATTATAAGGGGAAGACTTCGGCATCCTTCTTGGCTGAAAAGCCAGTAGTGAAGAAAGGGCTGAAATCCAGGAAGCAAGTGACTGACTACTTGATAGAATGAAGTTACAGAGGAGGGGAAGAGACGTGAGATAACCACAAAACCAATTCCTCCAATATGAAAGGGAACAATGTAAGGACTGGGGTGGGTGAAGCAACTTTTAGAGCAAGAAATAACTGAGGGAATTCCCACCTGGAAATCTGTTTTTCCTGTCATGTGTTGGCGGTGCATCTATCGATAGTGGGAAGGGACAGGAAGTTTGAGGGTGGGTGGGTAAAGGTTCTTCTCAGGGCAATGTGTTGCGAAGCTGACCAAAGAATACCACAGCAATGGTGTTGACAGCACAGTTTAACAGACCATGAAATCTTAGTGGCTCAAATCTCACTGACTTGAGAGACTTTCCCCAGGAGGCCAATGCTGAGCACTGGGATTGGACACTGATCCTGGTGGAAGGGATAAAGGGGTGAGACACTTTTAGGAGCTGGTGAAAGGAAAGTTCCAGTAACTGGTTACAGTGGGACAAGCTGACTGGGAAGGAGAGGAAGTAGGAAAGAGTAGAGATTCAGGTCACAGAAAGGGACTTAGGCGCTAATGATCTCAGACAGAGGAGTTTCGGGGGAAGAAGGAAGGCAAGGTCAGTTAGCTGAAAATAAGAAGATACAGAAGTCACTGAGGTGGAGAAGCCTGAATTTTGAGGAGCTGGGTGGGGCAAGTGGTCTTCGCTGGAAGCCTTTCTGGATGCTGGCCAGCGTTGTAACGGAAATACTGAGCACCTAGGGGCCAAAGGCATCTAGGAACATGGTAGAAGTGGATGAGGGGTCAGGTGGTAGTAGTGGTGAAAAGAAAAAGTGGAGAGAATGGTAAAGGAGAAAGCATTTTCACCTGAGAGATGAAATAGTAGTCTGGGATAGACAGTGGGGGGCCGGGCAGTATATGGGGCGGAACAGGAAGAGCAGCCTCCATTAGGAGGACCTTCAGGCAAGAGACAGGAGGACTTGGTGTTCTGTGAGGAGCTGTGTGGGCGAGAGGTTATAAAAAAAATATATGGTTGACCTTTGACCAACACAGGTTTGAACTGGGGTGGGTTCACTCCTGTGCAGATTTTTTTCTAATACAGAACAGTACCATAAATTTTGTCTCCCTTACAATTTTCCTAATGACATTTTCTTTTCTCCAGCTAATTTTATTATAGAAATACAGTACGTAATACATACAACATACAAAATCTGTGTTCCTTGGCTGTTTACATTATTGGTAAGGCTTCTGGTCAACAAAAGGCGTTGTAGTTACGTTTTAAGGGAGTAAAGTTATTCATGGCCATTAGGCTGGGCGGCGGGTGGGCAGCATCCCTAACCTGCGCATTGCTTAAGAGTCAAGTGTAGTTCCAGAGAGAGAGAGCCAAAGGCAACGAGCTGGGAGGAAAAGAAACAGAAATAAAAAGGAAGGGTGGAGGAAGAAAGAACAGGGTGGATAAGAGTACCTGGGTGGCTCAGTTGGTTAAGCGTCTGACTTCAACTCACGTTGTTCATGGGTTCAAGCCCCACATTAGGCTCTATGCTGACAGCTCAGAGCCTGGGGCCTGCTTCAGATTCTGTGTCTCCTCTCTCTCTGCCCTTCCCCCACTGGAGCACACACTCTCTCCCTCTCTCTCAAAAATAAACATTAAAAAAATTTTTAATAAAAAATATAAAAAAGAACAGTGTGGAGAAAGGATGTCACAGTCACTACGGCCATGCCAAAGGACTGTAGTAATGAAGGAGGGATGGGATCCCACTAGGTACTAAGGAACCAACCCCAAGCCACAGAAAGCAGCACAGTTCTGTCTTTCAAGAAAACAGGGCTCCTGGCCATGGGAGGTACCTACAGGAGAGCTTTCTTGCCTTGGGTAAAAACTCAAAAGTCAATTACTTCTGGAAAATTACAAGACTTCTAGGAAAGAGAACGCCCAAACTGTCAGCCTTTTTGATTTACAGGGAATCATCTTCCTGCTGCTCACTCCAGACAGATTTGCCCTGTGCAAGGCCCAGGTCCAAGGCTCAGGACCAAAGGTGAAACCAGCCTTAGGAAACCCAGACTTTTCTCTAAGTGCATAGAATTTCCCCCAAATGAACAGCAGATGACAGCAAAGAGCCAGAAAGGAAGCTAAGGCTTCCTAAGAGCCCAGAAGTGGTAAAAAATAAATCGTGTCCTCTTGTTCCTATAGCATCCTCTGTCATACGTATCCCCACTGTTTTACACTTACAACGCTCTCTTCCCCCACAGACAGAGACTCCCTGTAGCAGGGAATCTCTGATTCCCTAGTACAAATACTGGGCATGTAGGACGTGTTCAACAAATCTGTGTCAGGGATGGCTAGAGGGGAGATTTCCAACCTCCTGTGGTTAAGGGACAGGCACCTGCCTTTCGGGACAACGAGGTACATGGGGAAAAAGACTGGTTTGAGAGGGACTCGAGGCCATGCTTTGAATCCTGGCTCTGCTATTGATGGCTGTGAGCAAGGTACATAACATTTCCGAGCCTTGGTTTTCTCCTTTGTAGAAGGGGCATTTTTCACCAGGGTTAGTTGCATGAGAAAACACACAAAGTGTGCCTAGTAAAGTATCTCACACACAGGAAACACTCAATGAAAAGCTGACATTTACTGTGGTTATTATTACTGTGAATGTTTTTACAGACTCTACTCTGGGCCAGGCACCAGAGGAAAGAGGAAAGTGAGAAATAAATTGGAATTAAGCTTTGGCATCCCTGCTTCCTCAGCTCAGTTACCCCAAACAGTGTGGCGATAGATCCAACAGAAGGCAGCAGTGGAACTTATCACTTCTAGAAGCTGTAGCTTCCCAGACTGTGGCAGGATTTTTTTGCGGGAAGGGGATGCTGAGGATGGCTGCATCTCATCCCTCAGAAAGGGGAGGGGGGCCAGTTCTGGAACACAGAGACAGCTGTCTGCCTGGTTCTATTCAGAATGAGTGTATCCCCCCAGACTTGAGTATTATTAGGAAATTGCTTCCTGTGCCACAGGAGACAGACCTGGAAAATGACACGCATCTCCTGGATATGAAGACTTTCCTTAAAGCTTAGAGAGGGAAACAGTACATTTAGGGCAAATTCAAAGGAGGTGCTCTCTGACTCTGTGAGACCCCAAGTGGCTGCATAAGGTAAAAACAGCCTCAAAGAATATTGAGACGAGCCCTATGAAAAGAATGCTACCTGACAGAAATCAGGATACTGGGGGTGGGACAGATCTCTCACGACTAGACTCGCAGGAGACTCCATGGAGAGCAACGGCCCCATCCCCCAATGTGTCCCCAGGTTGACTGGTCCTTGAGGCTAGCTCATGCCAAAAGTTCCTCAGATTTGCCAGGTTTCCTGAGTTAGAAGAAGCACAACTTCCAAACCATCTTCCAGTGGCCTCACCAGCCCAGAGGGCCTCGTGTCATTTTCAACACGATAGAAATGAAGGCCTTGCGGCATGAGGTGAGATAGGGGCGTTGGTTCCTCCCAAAAAGTCCCAGCAACCAAGATAGAGAGGCTAGTCCCCTCTCATCTGCCACATAACAGAGAAGGGAGGGGATAACTTAAGGGTCACTGTGAGGTCACAAAGAGATCAGCTTTCCTTTCAAGGCCATCTCCACCAAGTTGGTGGTCTCTCCGTCATGATGAAATCAAGGTAGTCCATGGTTTATTTTACACAGTGGTCGATGTTCTTTTACCTGCTTCTTCCCTCAGTCCTATAACCTTTCAGTCCCTGACCTTCTTGCCTCTCTCAATATCTTTGGTTCTGAGAGGATGGACTTAATGAGCGAGAGCGCAAGGTCCTTCTCTCAAGAAAGCTGAGTGCTTCCTTCTCTCCTTCTACCCTATACTGCACACTGAGGCAAGGAGGAAGGCACAGCACAAGTGAGTCACAGAGTTGGGGATGGGGGGTGGTTTCCATGCAAACCCAATGTCACCACAGACAATGATCCCAAGGCCTAGGCCCCAGGACTCACAGTTAGCGGCACCAAAGGTTTGTTAGCGACAAAGCACAAAGGAGGGCTCTGAAAATCCCGCAGATTCTTCGCAAGCCTTATCCAAGCCCATCTTCTCACCCCCTGCTGTGTGGCATAAAGGATACTGCAGAGACCCAGGCTGGTAGCAGCTCAAGATTCTGGTGGGCCTCCAACACATGAGGATTCCCCAGAACAGAAGGGTGCAGTTAGGTGTGGGAGTGGCTAGTTTGGGGGGAGAAGGGTGGCTAGATGTGGGTGTGGCTAGAAGGGGGAGTGGCACTGGCAGTGTGCTGGGCAGCCTTACCTCCTTTCCAAAGCAGGTAGATGGGCACCACGTAGAGCATAACATGCTGAATGTAGTAAATCTCCAATTCAAAGGGGAGCTGTAAGGACAGGAGAGAGACAGGCATTTCAGAGCAGGAAGCACTTATGTCAACAGCTTCTGAAGTGGACCGCCCATGCTCTTTAGGATCTACATCTTAGCCAAGCCATGCATTTCAAGTGTTCACCTCCCTTCGCAATTATAAAAAAAAAAAAATGAAATGAATATACACTTATGACCTCGGGCCAGCATCTTCCAAAGCACGTTTGGCAGAGATGGTACTTGAAAAACCATTTCACTAAAAGAAGGCAGCTGGTTGCAATGTAAGAAATGTTGCATATACTAGATCCCCTGGAGACTCACCACGGCTATTCGTGGTATACTGAGGATCTGGGTCGTCTCTGCCACTGCAAAACTTGCTTACAATTGTTTATCCAGTGTTTCCCAAACTTAGCCAGTGCCTTTTTTCCCCCAAAGAACACTGAGTGTTCTGCACAATATGCTTGAAAAAACACAACAGAATGTCACTTCTTGCTCCAGATGAGGAGGTGATGAATGATTTATAAAATTTTTTAATGTTTATTTATTTTTAAAAGAGAGACACAGAGCATGAGCAGGGGAGGGGCAGAGAGAAAACGAGACACATGATCCGAAGCAGGCTCCAGGCTCTGAGCTGTCAGCACAGAGCCCCATGTGAGGCTCAAACTCACAAACTGTGAGATCATGACCTGAGTTAATGTCAGGTGCTTAACCAACTGAGCCACCCAGGAGCCCTTCATCTGACTTTGAATTGTGCCCTTAAAAGAAAGGAGCATGAAAAAAAGAAAGAAGCATGCCTCTCACTGCCCGTGCTCTCCTTTCTTATGAGTTGGAATGTTAACAGGGTGGGAAACAACAAGATAGCAGCCCATACCCTTAACATCTTCAAAACTCCGTATCAGCCTTGGATCACCTACTTGGACTAAGTAATCTGTGATTACTAGTGTCACATGGGGAGAGGGAAGGGTTCTCCAGGGAAACCGGAAGAGAAGTAGAAAGAATACCCAGACAGACAAAAGCAATAATTACTGTGGCCACTACAGCTGGCCTATACATATGTAAATACAATTTAGAGAAGAATATAAATACACTTCATGTGTAAATTTTTTAATGTTTATTTTTGAGAGAGAGAGAGAGAGAGAGACAGAGTGTGAGCAGGGGAGGGTCAGAGAGAGGGAGACACAGAATCCTAGGCAGGCTCCAGGCTATGAGCTGTCAGTACAGAGCCTGATGCTGGGCTTCAACTCATGAACCATGAGATCATGACCTGAACTAAAGTCGGACGCTTAACTGACTGAGCCACCCAGGCGCCAGGAGATGGTGAAGGATTTAAAAGCTTATTTCTCATCTGACATGAAGAATTTAAAGAGTAGGATTTATTAGTCCCATTTTCCAGATTTCCAAAAACATAAAAAACAAAAAAGGCAATTGCTAGGCCTGGTATGGTTTAAATCCAAGAATAAAGAGTTTCCCCACTGGATATTTGGGGTCAGTCCAGAGTAGCCCTACTTTTGGGCGAAGACCAAGCAGCTGGGCCAATTCCAACATGGCGTGCCAAAAGGAGGGGCCCCATCCTCCCTCCATCCAACACGCCTGCTCACTCACTGCTGTTTCCCATCTCTCACAAAATGGAAGCCCTGGATTAGCCAAGCAGAGCACGTTCTCCACCTGGCATGGGGACTGTGCTACAGACTTTGGCAGAGGGCTAGGAATGGAAACAGCTGGGTGGCTAACACAATTCGGCGGGGGGGGGGGGGGGGGGGGGGGGACTTCAGCAGCTGGCAAGAGGCCTGGCCTCTGGGGCTTACACAGCCCGCAACACACACAACACACACCAGCCCGCAATACACACACACACACACACACACACACACAAACACCCCCCAACAGGGAAGCCCAGAGAGACAAGACAACCCAGGGGAAGGGTCCGCTGCATGTTTGTTCCCTACAAGGTAAGCCCAGAACCAAGACTGCATGCTACTGACAGGAGGCAGTTATGGGTTCCCCAGGTGTGAGAGCCCAAGCCTGCCTTGTGCCACGGGCTAAAACCAAAAGATGGCAGAGCCCCCCAGAATGGCAGCTGAGACAACTGCAGACCATGAACAGAGATGCTGGCTCCAGCCCTTGAAAATAAAAATCCACAGGGGCACCTGGGTGGCTCAATCAGTTAAGCATTCGACTTTGGCTCAGGTCATGATCTCATGGTTTGTGAGTTCAAGTCCTGAATTGGGCTCGCTGCTGTCAGTACAGAGCCTGCTTGGGATTTTTCTCTCTCTCTGCCCCTCCCCCATACTCACCCTCTCTCTCTCTCTCAAAATTAAACTACACATTAAAAAAGGCAAGAGAGAGGTGCCTTGGTGTCTCCATTGGTTACGCTTTCAACTTGATTTTAGCTTAGATCTTGGTCTCACAGTTTGTGAGTTCGAGCTCCACATCAGGCTTGGGATTCTCTCTCCTCTCTCTGCCCTTCCCCCACTCACACTTTCTCTCTCTCTTTCTCTCTCTCAAAATAAATAAATAAACTTAAAAAAAAAAAGAAAAAATGAACAGAAAAACCCACACAGAAGGAAAATTGCCCATGGACCCAGATGATGCCCAACTACTATTTTATGCTCACGGGAAGATATTAAAATCCCAGAAAAAGAGATGAGGTCCTACATGGCTCTGCAGACCATGCTGGAATAGCTGGAAAAGGTTTGACAATGGGCATTACCACCATGAGGTCTGGAGGTCTTGGGGGTCCACACTTGTCCCTCAATTGGCATACGATCCAGAATCACCCTACCATCTTGAATTGGGCACTGCTTCATGCTTTTTCAACCATTTCCATATCCATGACCTTCTGATTCCTCTCAAAAACCCCATGAGGTAGGCAGGCCAAGTATCATCTGATAGATGAGGAAACTGAGGCACAAAGGGTTAACTGGTTTGACCGTGGTCATCCAGAAGACAGGCAAGGAGCAAAAGGTCCCAGGAAGGTCCAACACTCTGGCTATAATCCAAATGTTCAGGTACCTAAGGGACTTGACCTCTCCCTGAAACAGGCCTGGGAAACCAAGCTGCTCTTGCACAGCATGGAGCAGAGAACTGAGATGTCCTTCCAGACTCTAGCTGCTGCTTACCCCTCTGGACTCACAGCCCTCCTGGAAGGCGCACCCTTCACCTGCAATGTCCAGGGAGGCAATTTAGCACGGTAGCTATGAGCAAAAATTTTGGAGACTGTCAAATCTGTGTTTCTAGATTTCCTTATGTCCTTAATAGCCCCATGGCCTCAAGCAAGTCACCTAACCTCTCCACCCGTTTTGGCACCAGTATAATGAAAATAATTACGCTGTTATAAGATTATTATAGGGGCACCTGGGTGCCTCAGTCAGTTAAGCGTCCAACTCTTGGTTTTGGCTCAGGTCATGATCTCATGGTTTGTGAGTTCAAGCCCCCACATCGGGTTCTGCACTGACAGCATGGAGCCTGCTTGGGATTCTGTCTCCTTCTCTCTCTGCCCCTCCCTTGCTTGCTCTCTGTGTCTTTCTCAAATTTAAAAAAAAAAAAAAACTGGAAAAAAAAGTAGGCTGATAAATCCCACCAGGCCTCTGGACGCAGACTGCTTAAAACATTACAGGCACGAACTCTGTCCATGGCAAGCATGTGATCTCCTTCTTCCTGGTGTATGGCCATGCTGGCCACACCCCCATGCTCTGCCGTGGAGACAAGCAACCCATCGTGCCCTCCATCCCTGGTCACCTCGGTCACCATAAGAAGCCCCAAATTCCCAGGTCACCAACCAACACATGAATTCCAAATTTTCTTTCATGTTTTTTATTTATTTTTGAGAGAGAAAGGCAGAGTGTGAGTGAGCCAAGGAGGGGCAGACAGAGAGAGAGACCCGGAATCCGAAGCAGGCTCCAGACTCCCAGCTGTCAGCACAGAGCCCAACGCAGGGTTTGAACTCACGAACCATGAGATCATGACCTGAGCCAAAGTCAGACGCTTAACTGACTGAGCCACCCAGGTGCCCCCCAACACATGAATTCTAATCCCCCCCCAATCTTATCTCATCTCTCACCTTCCCTCGATTCTAGAAACTCTTCCAGCCTACGCTCTGGAACCCAAGGACTATTCAAAATCCTCTTCATTCTCAAACTCTCCTCCGAGAAGTCCCTTCACCTTCTTACTCTAACGAAAACCTGGTTTCCTGCCCCTCCGAGGACACCACCACTCCTGTAGCCCTCTCTCAAGTGCTGGGTGGTTCTCCTGCCATGCTGCCCACTGCAACAGGTCAGGAGGGGTCCTCCCTTCTCCTCACTGCTGCTTCTACATTACTGGCTCTTCCACAGCCATTCTCTCTGCCTTCTTCCTAACCACTCCCCCGAATGGAATCTCATGCCCTTGGACTCTGCCACCCACACCACTCTTCTTCTTGCGACCACCTATGGACCCTCTCCCCATGCATTTCCCCTTTGGCCTCAAAGACTCTGCCTCCCTTGTCATTTCTTTCCAACGCTCCTGGGTCAAAATGCCTGTGTCCTCAACAGTGTTGGCACTAGCCTGTCATGCACCCCACTCTCCAACAACCACAACCTACCTAGCCAGCAACTCATTCTCCTCGTATCCATCTTCCAACGTCACTGGGACCTATGGTCCACTCATCCCACCATGTTTTGACTGCCCCTCACCGACCTCACATCCTCACTTCTACACTTGCCCATCAGCCCCTTCCCCACATTCTCAACTCTCCGGATATTCTCTTCCCCCCTCTATCCTACCTGCCTTACAAATACACATTGCTGGTTAAATCCAACTCTCTGCCTTCCCGTCCCTACCACCCAGGCAAGTGAGCGTGGCTGGAGAAAAATACAAAACTATGCTGTTACCCGCTTTAAATTCATGAGAGCAAGTGTTAATGCTACCCAACTATCTGTCCACATCCTCCAATCCATTTGCTCTCCTCTTTCCTGGACAACTATTTTACAACTTCTTGTGCCTTCCTCAAACCTTCCCCTATCCTCCCCCTCAGCTAGTGAA